CCCTCCTCGAACCTGGACTCGGCTTCTGGCGGTGCAAAGATTGGCTTTGTCTGGCTGTTCAGTTGGTTAAAGAAGTCATCATCGGATTCGACTTCGCCGCTCGGCTGGTTTTCCCAGAAAGGTTGATCCTGAGTGGTTGTATCCACATCCGCTGCGGCCGGATCTAGATGGGCGTTATTGGTCGGTGCAAAGGCCTTCGCCACAGGAGGCGGTGAGTCAGTATTCTCAGATTCAACATTCGTACAGCGAGACACGACATCAAGTTGCTCATTCTCGTTTGGAGCCTTGGCCTTTTCAGTGGAGTCGAAGACATCAGTGCTCTCCTCGTCAAACGTCGCACCCGTAAATGCTGTTTCCCCTGGTGATGGACGTACAGCTTCCTCAACAGACTTTGGCTCATCGCTATCCTGAATTTGAGTAGCGGTTGAGGCAAACTCTGGGATAGTATGGAAATCTTTGCTAAGAGGGGTAGCCTCTTCGGTGGAGGGCAGCGTATTGCTAAGGTCCTTCTCAAAGGTGGACCAGGGATCCTCAGAATTGGCATCCCCCTCGTCTGTTTGCGGGAACAGTTCTTCGATAGTGGTGGATTGAGTGGTATGTTCAGGTTTAAAAGTGCCCAACGAAGATTTGGGTGCCGTTGTTTGCTCCTCTCTTGAAGATGTAGTCTCCCTCACACATGTCGACTCCGGCATGGTGTCTTGTTCCGCAGTACCTGAGGTTGAGGTTTGGACAGATGGTGGCCCATCTAGAGTGCTGGGACCAGACTGGACTGAAGGTGCTTCGGTCTGAACTGGCTGCGCGGGCTGGGTCGCTGTCAGGGTCGGGTTTAGGACGGTATCTGCACTCTGAATAGATGGCGTGATAGTTGTATGAACCGTTTCAATTGTCTCCTCGGGCACTTGACTGGTCTTTTCAACGGAATCAGTGTCTAGGCACACGGCGTGGTCCACCACTGGTGATGCATTGTTCACTACCACGTTCAAGCTCGTGTATTGAGGCTGAATCGCGTCTACCTCATCGGACATATCCCACGCAGAGAAATCCTCACTCTGTGGAGATATAGCTTTGTCTAGGGACTTGTCCTTTCGCTCATCCGCCGCAATCGGATCCGGCAATGCACTCTTGATCGAGCTCATCGCAACAGGAGAGTTATTCTTCTCGGGCCGCAATGCCGGATTCCACGACTCAGAATCATTGTCGCTCGTTTGGAACGCCATATGTGCAAAGTTGTTCTCGATTGCCAACGTGACTGGAGAGGGGGGCGCAGTCCGGAGGGACTAACCTGACACGTCTCCAATGACGCCTCAGGAGATCAACAATCGTAAAAGAAAAACGGGGGTCGAAGGAGTTAACTTAAGAATCCATTAAACGACGAGATATAAAACAGAGCAAAACCTCAAAGAAATAAATCGATCATGAATGCATCAGCTGATGGCAAAGAATAACCAAGCAGTCGGATTGTCCTGGAATAATGCGACAGCGAAGGGCGATCTCCGCCTATGATTCCCCCGGTCCACGGGTCAAATGAAGGCGCTGAGTCATCCGGATTCTGTCCCGAATAGGAAAAATGCAAACCCGTGATTCGGAGTAACTGATAGTCCGGCCGGTTTATGTCCAACCTTAAAAGTGAAGTATTACGTCAGCTAGTTATCGCCCGCGAATTATGCACTCATGTGATTGCGTGGCCCGACAGGCAGTCATCGAGCATCCTTGAACGAGATTCAAACAGGTTCTCCCTTTTTGTCTATTTCACAAATCTTTTTGATCGTGGCATTGACTGCGTCTTACACAAAGAAGCGTTTCGTTTCCTTTTTCGACCCTGGCAGCATCCCTCCACTCTTTCATCATCATGCTGCATATGCGTTTGGACCAATACCACCACACATGACAACATATACCTGAGATGAACCTTCCTTTGATGCAAGGCCAAAAGCTCCACCTTGCATAAAGCCAGCAATCCATTTGACTTGGACCATACCAGGTTTCCCATAATGCGTTCCTCATCCGACTACCTACACCCCCTAGACCATCCCGATGCGCCAGACGCCTTGTCCGACTCGGACGACGACTTGGACCTAGAAGAGCTAGACCCCAGCACGACATCGTCTCAACAGCCTCGTGAGTCTCGGGACTATACCGGCCGGAAAAGAAGCTATGGGCCGGCTATCGCGCTGCGTAACTTGCGCGTCGGAGCAGCAAGTCGGTGGAGACGCAGTGCATCTGGACGCGCAGACTTGGAAGATGATACCGATGCGCTTCTAGAGAACCGAGAGGATCAAAGCTTGCGCGACTCGCATCCAAGCTCCAGGAACCTGGAAGATGATGATGCGCCTCTCTTGGATCGCAGAGCGTCGACTCGCGATTTTAACGATGAGCCTCCCATGAAAGGCAGCCGCTTGCGCTTCCCAGGATTCAAGACTCCCGCATTTCTACAGGGCACATCAATTCGATTTGGATCGAATGACAACAACCCTGAGAACCAACCTCCACGTGAAGTACTTGTCGGGCAGTACCAGGCTAATAAGTATCCAGCCAATGTGGTCTCAAATGCAAAATACACACCCTGGAGCTTCCTACCGAGAACCCTTTACAACGAATTTTCCTTCTTTTTCAACATATACTTCCTCCTTGTGGCTTTATCACAGGTCATCCCGGTGCTGCGAATTGGATATATGTCGTCCTACATTGCCCCTTTAGCCTTTGTGGTTTCAATATCATTGGGTAAAGAGGCACTTGATGATATTGGTCGTCGGCGACGAGATGCCGAAGCGAATGCGGAAGAATACTGCACTATAGCATTAGGAAGGTCCAACGCGATGGAGGTCACAAAAAAATCGCGAGACCTGAAGGTCGGTGATGTGCTCAAAGTCCGCAAGAATCAGCGCCTTCCTGCCGATGTCGTGATTCTGAAGAGCATTTCAAATGACTCCGGCACTCCTCGTCATTCATTAACGGGAGAACCTGTTCCTGGGGCGTCTTCCGACTTGCTCGAACCAGGTCAAGGATCATCCGAACCCATAAACAACACCACATCGAAGAATGGTGAAGATATTGAAAATCAACCAGGAGGCGATACTTTCATCCGGACTGATCAATTGGATGGCGAAACGGATTGGAAGCTTCGTCTACCTTCCATAATGTCTCAATCGCTCCCTCTGAGCGATTTAGGTCGACTACAAATCACCGCTAGCGCTCCTGATAAGAGAGTCAACGAATTCATGGGGACTATTGGGCTGGGACCACCCACTGGATTCTACGATGCTCACGTTGACAAATCCTCTGGGCCTCCAAACAACGAAGGAACGCCTGGGCCTGTGGAAAATCAATCAGCTCCCTTGACAATCGACAATACTGCCTGGGCCAACACTGTTCTTGCGTCTAATACCATCACATATGCCGTCGTCATCTATACAGGATCTCAAACTCGGGCCTCGCTTTCGACTTCCGCTTCCCGGTCGAAGATCGGCCTGTTAGAACTCGAAATCAACAACCTCACCAAAATTCTCTGCGCCCTTACATTCACTCTCTCGATCGTCCTTGTCGGGTTAGAAAGATTCCAACCAACAAACGATAAGAAATGGTACGTCGCAATCATGATCTATCTCATTCTCTTCTCCACGATTATTCCCATGAGTCTTCGGGTCAATCTGGACATGGCCAAGTCGGTATACGGGCGGTTTATCGAACGCGACAAAGACATTCCAGGAACGGTCGTCCGCACTAGTACAATTCCAGAAGATTTGGGAAGGATCGAATATCTACTTTCAGATAAGACGGGAACGTTGACCCAAAATGAGATGGAGCTCAAAAAAATACACGTTGGCACTGTATCATACGCCAATGAGGCAATGGACGAAGTCGCCTCATTTGTTCGTCAAGCTTTCGCGTTTTCGGGCAATACCTTGACCACCCCTTCGACTGTCTTCGGAACCCAGGCCGGCCATGCCACAGCGCCGCGGACAAGAAGAGAGATTGGTTCCCGCGTCCGGGATATCATCTTAGCGCTTGCTCTTTGCCATAACGTCACACCGACCACAGAGGAGGAAGACGGCCGCAAGGTGACGAGCTATCAAGCGTCTTCGCCTGATGAAATTGCCATTATTCGATATACCGAAGAAGTCGGATTAAAGCTAGCATATCGAGACAGACAAAGTATCGTCTTGGAATCCACCGACTCCAAGCAGGTTGTGGTCCGGGCTCGTATTCTCGACATCTTCCCATTCACGTCAGACTCCAAGCGAATGGGGATTATCATCCAGTTCCAGCACGATGATGAAAACATGCTTGAATCCGGCAAAGACGATAGTGAAATTTGGTTCTATCAGAAGGGTGCAGACACTGTCATGAGAACTATTGTTGCAGCGAATGACTGGCTTGACGAGGAGACTACGAACATGGCTCGCGAAGGGTTGCGAACTCTCGTTGTTGGGCGCAAGCGAATCTCCGCGCAGCAATACCAGCAATTCTCTATCAAATACAAACAGGCGTCACTATCTTTCCAAGGGCGAGATGCGGGCATGGCGAGGGTTGTGAGCGAATACCTTGAACAAGATTTAGAGCTTTCCGGTGTGACTGGTGTGGAAGATCGGCTGCAGCGCGACGTCAAATCCTCTCTCGAGCTGTTACGCAATGCTGGTGTGAAGATCTGGATGCTGACGGGTGATAAAGTGGAAACAGCGCGTTGTGTCGCTATTTCTGCCAAATTGGTCTCCCGGGGCCAGTACATTCACGCAGTCACCAAAGTCACAGACAAGTCGACTGCCCAAGAAACTCTTGACTTCCTGCGCAACAAAACTGACTGCTGCCTGCTGATTGATGGCGAGTCCTTGAATCTCATGCTCGGCCAATTCAAAACAACCTTCATCTCTGTCGCGGTGCTACTGCCCGCCGTGATCGCATGCCGATGCTCCCCCACCCAGAAAGCTGAGATTGCAGACCTCATTCGCCAACACACGAAGAAACGTGTCTGCTGCATCGGAGATGGCGGCAACGATGTCTCGATGATTCAAGCAGCCGATGTCGGAATCGGTATCGTGGGCAAGGAAGGCCGCCAAGCATCCTTGGCCGCTGATTTCAGCATCACTCAGTTCCACCATCTAACCAAGCTTCTAGTCTGGCACGGCCGCAACTCGTACAAGCGGTCTGCTAAGCTAGCACAGTTCATCATGCACCGTGGGTTGATTATCAGTGTTTGCCAGACTATGTACAGCATCGCCAGCCACTTCGATCCCAAGGGCTTGTTCATCAACTGGCTCATGGTCGGCTACGCGACTGTCTATACAAACGCACCAGTCTTTTCCCTCGCCTTTGATCGGGATGTCGACGAGCGTCTCGCAAATCTATACCCAGAGCTTTACAAAGAGCTCAAGACAGGGAAGAGTCTAAGCTACCGTTCGTTCTTTGGCTGGGTTCTCGTCTCTGTCTACCAGGGTGCAGTGATCCAGGGTCTCTCTCAAATATTGTTGGATACTATCACAGGGCCGCGCCTAATTAGTCTTTCCTTCACGGCCCTCGTCCTCAACGAGCTTGGCATGGTCGCCACTGCAATCACAACTTGGCACCCGGTCATGATCTTCTGTCTGATTGGTACGCTGCTTGTATACGCAGGCAGTGTCCCCTTCCTGGGCGAGTACTTCGACCTTGGCTACGTGATTACCCTTGACTGGCTGTGGCGTGTTTTCGCTGTGCTAGCTGTGTCTCTGGTTCCGGTCTGGGCTGGCAAAATGATCAGACAGTCGTGGCACCCGCCAAGTTACCGAAAGGTCCGTGGATAGAGTTGGTACTTGTCATGATTTCTGTGTATCATACTTATTCTCTCGCTTGGAGTTCTCATCTGTCTCTTCCCTCATACCCTAGCTCCCGCCGATCTAGTTATCATGTGGTTCTGTATATTAGTCTTAAGCATCTTGTCTTGTTGAGCGCATCTAACGTCAGGCTACTTCCATGCTATTAGATTGGTCAATCACTTCACCTCCATCCAGAAAGTTTGATGACCTGGGCAGTACGTGGTATCAAGTTCATGTAGTATCGATAACGTCTCCATCAATTCTTCTAAGATGATAAATACACTTACCTATCAAATCTTTAAGGCCTTTAAACCCACATCTGTAAGAATATCGCAGATGGATGTGATGCGTTGTTACATATAGTAGTTGGATGCCGAGGCGGATCCCCAGGGCCCTCCAATGACGTTGCGCGTAATCGATAAGCAAACACGTGATCAACCTACTCAGGAAGGCGGTCAATTCATATCAAATCTTTTTTTTTCTTCGGGGTCAAACATCTGTTGCATAGACTCTAGTATCAACCACTTTTTCGGTTGCCAATTCCTCGCCCGTCATGTCTGACGAAATTGTCTGGCAGGTTATCAATCAGCAATTCTGCTCCTACAAACTCAAGTGAGTAGTAATCTTCACTCGCTGGCTATTCAGTCCGCAGAACTTTCGGTCTCGATTATGCATGGAAAAAAAGCAAGGACCTTTCACTAACCACTCCAACGTTCTCTCCAGAACGACAAAAGACCAAAATTTCTGCCGCAATGAATACAATGTCAGCGGCCTGTGCAACCGCCAGTCCTGCCCACTGGCCAACTCGCGGTATGCAACGGTGCGAAGCGATCCCGAAACGGGCGTCATGTACCTGTACATGAAGACCGTCGAGCGAGCCCACATGCCCAGTAAATGGTGGGAGCGTGTGCGCTTATCTTCCAACTACGCTAAGGCCCTCGAGCAAGTCGATGAGCGCCTTATCTACTGGCCAAAGTTCTTGACACACAAGTGCAAGCAGCGTCTCACCCGCCTGACGCAGGTTAGCATCCGTATGAAGAACATCGCTAAGGAGGACGAGCGTCTCGGAGAGAACGTTGTGCCTAAGCTGGCGCCGAAGGTCCGCCGCCGTGAGGAGACCCGTGAGCGTAAGGCCGAGTCTGCCGCTAAGGTCGAGAGAGCTATTGAGCGTGAGCTTATTGAGCGTCTGCGCAGCGGTGCTTACGGTGACCGGCCGCTCAATGTCGAGGAGGGTATCTGGAAGAAGGTTCTCCGTGGTCTTGAGCGGGCTGGTGACGGCGAGCGCGATGTGGACATGGATGACGGTGAGGAAATTGAGGAGGAGGAAGAGGGTGTTGGTGAGGTCGAGTACGTCAGCGATCTCGACGAGGAGGAGGACCTCGAGGATATGGAGGACTGGCTGGGTGTCGACTCGGCTGATTCCAGCGATTACGATGACGATGAGAGCGATGATGATGACAGCGAGGACGACGAGGAGGCTAGCGAGGATGAGAGAAAGCCCAAGCCCAGTGCCAAGCGGAAGCATGTTGCTCCCCAGACGAAGCCTCGCAAGAAGGGTCCTCGCATCGAGATCGAATACGAGACCGAGGGTGCTGGCAAGGACCAGGTCATGGCATGATTTTGTCGATGTTAGAGGATTTAGGAAAAGTTTACCTGATCTTGCATGGCGTTTTGGCTGTCAATTATTTTGTTTTATATTTCTATTCTGTGCTAGTGATCGGGCATCATACCCTGCTATATTGCATACACTACAACTAACGATCCTAGATCTTCCAATGTCTATTTTATTTCCAATTGTACCGGTCGATATCTATTTCATTCCCGAGATACCTGAACATAATTTATTTGAGACAAGACCTGAATTTGTTGCTTTATCTAGGTGAAACACGTGATCACGTGGCCCAAAGAATGCCCTCCACTATCGTTGCCTTTCATTTTCCTTTGAACGACTTCACCTCAAGCCAGGAGCCGGTTCTTCTGTTAATACCCCCATTAATAATTTATTGCAACCATTCTCATCTCTTGCCCAACTATTTGACCCTGAATTACTTGCATTGGGTCCCTACAAGGAAATACTCCAGCTCCGCGCCAACCCCACCCCGCATCGGAGCTGTCATTCTGCAGACCGCATTCCTCAACCACACGAATCGTTGCTGTAAGATGAGCTCGTACTTCACATCCTTGACCACCTCTTCGGCCATCTCTGGCCTGGGCTCACGGCTCACCAACCTTCGCCGTGCCATTACCCTAGGCGACGAGGGAGACGACCCCGACAATGAAGACTGCTCCCACATCTCCAACGCCCTTCGAGCCTACTACACCGAAAAGGGCCGTCCATTCCCACCATGGCTCCCACAAGACCCCAAGGGTCCGGCCCCGACTCCGGCACAGTCCCGCCCGATTGCGACTTCCCAGCTACCCTCCGGCGGCTACAACCAAGGGCCGCCCGCCAACCCCAACTCCGGCCGGAGCGGCGGTTTAGGTGACCTATGGGGTGATTCTCCCACATCCCAATCCTCGGTCCCACAGACAGCCAGTCTCCGTCGTGGACGTGGTGGCACGGCACCACCACTTGCCTCGGCCAACAGCGCGCCGCCGGGTTCGGTCTCTCAGTCTCGTTCGCCTGCTGGATCAGGCACCTCCAGTCCATCCGGAGCGCGACCATTGCCCAGCCAGCGAGCTGGGTCACATCAGTCTTCCCAGAGTCGTCCGAATCTCGATCGTGCTGGGTCGGGTGGTGGTTCAGCCCAGGAGCGGCTGCGGGCCAGATTACAGGGAGGAAGGTCTCCTAGTCCCAATGTTGACCCCAGTGTTCGGAAGCCTGTTGGGGTGTCTGGCAGACGGTGAGAATGTGAAGACATACATTGCATGGTGGAGAGCATGGCGTCGGGGAGTTTTTTTATTTCCCATATTTACCAAGTACATAGGTCTTAAGGACAAAGTTCATTCAATAATGGTCGGGTGATTCTGCATAGATCTGCGCCGAATATATTATAGCACGAGATTGTAGTATGTTCTGAGAATTCGCGCAGATTTACCAATTTGACTTTTCCCCCCACGCTCGGGGATATATTAGGCTGAATCCATCAAGACTCTTACTGGCACGACTCAGTCTACCACCAGGCCGACCTTGGAAAGATCACCCCACCATCACCTAAGCCAAGATACGCGATGGCGCCCATAATTGGACCTCCGCACCAGCCCGGGATTGCTTAGCGGCAGCCACCAATGCTAAGCAACACCTAATGACGATGTCAGGAAAATCCCGCATGTTACCCCAATGCGGCCATCCCGTGTTTGGCTGTGCTCCGAATGGAATATAACGCAACTCGGAAGTTAATTTCCTCTCTCTCTCTCTCTTCAGATACAGGATATTGGTCAAGTGGGAACAGTTATTGGGCTCAAGCCGAGATTTGAAGCATTTGGCCAAAGAAGTCATGATATGTCCCCACCTAGGCATTTCCCCGACGAGTCGCCGATGCATGGCAGTCTTCTCCATGGGGACCCCAACCCAGTCGGATACCGAATTTTAGCGTCTTTCAAGTCCCGTCCGAGATGGCTTTTGCCAAACTAAGTTTGTTTTTGTCTGTCGACTAGATTATATATTCGGCTTCGAGTGTCGGGATTTTCTTCTGCAAGATTCCCTCCGTCCAACAGTACGGCTATACCGTGATCTATGCC